TTATACAAGTCAATGGATATGATTGCAGAAATAATTCCAATGAAACCAAAAATCTTTAAAGACAACACAAAAATGACTTCACGTATTTCTCAGAATCAAGGTATTTCGTGTTGTGGGGAATAAAAATAGAACTAAACAAGTAAACACACACACTGCTTCATCACTGCTTCCCAACCAGTGTTGATGATAAAAAGCCGTAGGAATTTGTAAGATATAATTTTACCTTTTACACTTTGTGGTTGTTAAAGTGTGATGTTCACTGATGAAACGCTGCCTTCAGAACGCTACAACAGAGTTAAATGTATCCTCTTCTGCAGAAAAGCATTAAATCCTGAACTGTGAAAAATCAAAAAGGAGAGTTTAAGTTTTAAATTAACAGTTCCAAACACACAATTTTATTTGAAAGTGAAGAGTAATTTATAAGTGCAATGTTCTGCTTAACATAAATAAGTCCCAACTACTACCCTAACAGAATGCACCTTGCTTTAAAGTCTTTCTCTTTGACAAGCAGAATATTCTGAAACAATTTCAGTTCTGCCTCGAGCTCTCACTTGAACCTTGAATCATGTTTACGCCTGCACTCAGCGTCTCCCACACCACCTAGATCTTCAGCCCTGCTTGTTACGTTCCAAATACTGCTTTCCGCTCTCATTTAAACACCTTTTCTGCCGCAATTTGCGAGCCCAGCAAGGCAAGGAAGGCCCAAGCGAGCCTCCTGCTCCCGAGGCTCGCGCATTCCCGGCTCTCTGGGCGGAGTGGAAGCTGCTGCCGGCAACCAGCAGAGTCGCCCAGCCGCGCTGGTGCTGCTCCCTCCGACACAACCACTAACTCCTCCTTTCAAAACCCAGCTCAGAAACACTTAAATATTTATTCCAAATTCACCCGGCAGATGCACTCTTCCTGCAATAACTCCTCAACAGTTTAATTACCACCAGCTTCCAGGCTATTTATGTCATTACTTTGCATGTATATGTGTTTTCTTTTAGTTTCTTCCCTTGAATCAAGTTTCCTTTTAAGCAAACTGAAGGCAGGCTTTTTTCCTCCCCTGTATCCCATTTCTCTCTGCCTTATTTACTGTTCTAAAAATAAATCTTATGTTTTCTATAGAACATACTTCCACCAATACCTTTACAAGTTTTAAAACACATTAAATCTTAAAAATTATCCTGGGCTCTAAAACTAAGCTTATGCTACTCTTAAGTACTATAAAATGCTAATTTTACTGAAAACACTGATTTTACTGAAAATGTCAGAATTGCTTCTTTAAAAAAAGAAAATACATATATATCTTTATTTGTTTAGAAAAGTCATGTTTCTTCTTCCCCTGCACCAGATGAAGGCTTTTAAATGGTTAACATACTGATGAAAATATTAACATAGGAAATTAAGGCAGAGCAGAATGATCTGAAAAACAATTCCAGCATGATTCAGTGAAGTCACTTGTGCTTTTCTGGCCAAATAACCTGCTGGCCCATTGACCTACTTTTTTGGGTGCTTGCAGCCTCCTCTCCTATTTTGTTTTGTTCTGTTTGACAAGTGCAAACATTAATAGCGACAAAGAGTCCCTTGGACGTGGAGGTTACAGCGATTGCAACATGAAACCTATGTTTTTAAACAGCTCCGAGTAGAACTCTGCCAACTTTCCCAGAGCTCATAGCAGAGTTTTAATGAGGAAAATTTCAGACCTCATCTCTGCAGAATGTGGAGGTATTTTTTTTTTAAACCACAATTAAACACTTAAGCTAAACAGCACGGAGCGTAAGCACAAAAACATACTCGGTAATGTATAAAACGGAAGCCAAAAAAGAAAAAGGGGTGGAAGGGGGGAGTTAAAGGACATTTCAAAAGGGAATTTAAGAGCAGAGGAGGGAAATACGTTCATGTCATAAATGCACATAAGCAAGCTTAACCCAGACTAAAAAGAAACCTAATCACAGTGGAAAAGCTTCTGCAACCAAAGCCACACGGATCTCCAAGGCGGTAGGAACAGCAGCCCCATGAAAGCGAGCAGGAAGGCCTGGACGCTGCAGCTCAACACCACCCCCGAGAGCCACGAGGGCTCAAAGGTCACGAGCCTCTCCAAAACTTTTCTATTTTTTTTTTTAAATGCACATAATGCGTGATTTTGGTTTTGGTTGCTCAATTTTTGTACACATTCAGTGAATGCTTTCAAACTTCTCTGCAATCAAGAGGACCAAAAACAGTATTTTCAAGAAAGCTTAGTTCCTCAATCAAAACGCTCAGCAGCTGCCACGGATATACCAACTATTAATACACCACATTGCTACGAGTGCAGCAGCAATCTCAGCAGCCAGCAGCACGGCAGCTTTTGCATTTACAACTTGCCACTCAGAAGGGCACCAAGGCCCTGGATAGCCAAAGCAGCAACGTCCTGAATCACAGACACAGAGCGAGAGCCGCCACCCCAAGCAGAAAGTCCACAGCACTGGACACACGTTTAGAAGGAATCAGGAACTTCAGTCTATTTTGATGTCTAGATCGGTATGAATATTGGCAATATTATACCTTACAAAAAAATTCAAGGATTGAACAAACTGAAGCTAAACCACAGCCTCGCTCACAAGAGAAGTCCCGTCAGCACTAGACTAATAAAGGGATGAGGCAGCAGCAAACACGGTGCCTCTACTTAATTTTTGCACAAGGTTAGTGACCAAAGGACTTAGGTCTCCTCTACTTCACGTTATCAGTAGCACCGCTGAATGTTTTTGAGAAAGAATCTATATTGTCCTTATATTGTGCAAAGATTTTTATACAAATGTCTGAATTTTATAAGCAGTATTTTCATAAACTTACATTTTACAGCTGTTAGACAGGGGGCTTATACTATTAGGAGAAATAATTTTACCAGGAAAAGATCATAGGAAGAATACAAGAAACAATAGAGTTTCCAGCACCAGGTATATTTCAGCAAACAGAAGAAGATTAACACGCTTAATACAACCTGATCTCTGCACCATAATCTTATTTTGCTAGGGGAACAAACTAGTGATTATAACCAGTGCGGATTAGCTTTAGAGAAGATCTCGTACAAGAACCAAAATCACAGGGCACCACAACAGCCGGCATTTGCACAGCACCTTGTGTAACGGAGCAGCAAAACACCCTCACATTCCTGTTGCGTGCCCTGGTAAGGAGCCAAGGAGCAACAGGAAACAAAGAAAAAAGAAAAATAATCACACCAAGAGTCAACAGCAGAGCCAGGAACAGGCCCCGACCATACAAGCGCAGCACCATAAATGCTGCTAAGTACAAGCCTTCTTGCTGCGTCTCTGCAGGAGCACAGAAACGTTACCTCCTCGGGTAACTTGGACTGGAGACTGCTGGGTTCTCCTGCACCTCGCACCACGCTGGGCGGGCAGAGACGATCCACAATCTCACGACCCCATTGCTTTACTACTAATCCTCAACTCCCGTTAGTGCCGTTCCTCTCTCACCTTTTCTGTTTTGCTATTTCCCTCACAGATATATTTCCCCCCCACACACACACTATTTTTCTCTTTAGCATATTCTCTTTTAGAAAACATGTGGAGGAAGGGAGAAGGGAAATTTGTTTCAGTTTCTTTCTGGTAAGCACAAACTTTTGGAAGAGAGTGAAGAAATCTACACCCAAGTTAGCCACAACCTGCCCTCGAATCAGGTACAGGTTGGTCCAACAGAACAAACGGGCAGATTGAAGGGAGATGCGTGCTCTTTTGCTTGCAACTGCGCACACTCCAGCAGAAAGCAGATTAGGGTAATGACTGACTGATCCCTTTTCCTCTTCTCACTAATCAAACGCTACCTGTGATAATGTTATCATGTTAAAATTGACATCTGTTGATGTCAGTTTCATTTTTTATCTCAAAATAACACGAGCAAAACTAAACAAACAAAAGATAGGGCTGAAAAGAACCTCCAGAAACGTCATCCAATTTATGCAGACAGAAAGGTTATCCTGGCAGCTGGAAATAGCAGCATATTGCAACCTTTTCCCTGCCCCGCGAACAAACCCAAGGTGAACATCTGGCACTGCAGGTCTGCATTTCTGCAGAAGTAGTGATATAGCCCTTCTTTCTTGCACAAGTGATCTGTCCGCGCCAAGAGAACCAAGGGGAAGGGGCAGGGGGAAGATGGCTGCTGGCGTGGGCTGCCACTATCGGAATTAACCATCCCGACCCGCTCTGCTCCTGAGACTTTCAGGAAAGAGGACCACTGGTCCCCTTCCTTCAATAATATATAAAGTCATTAACAAGCATGACAGAAATATTGTTTGTACATCCTGCAGAACTCGTCTGCACAAGAGAAACTGCGGCTGCACCTTATAATCCCACTTGTATAGTTTTACTTCAAAAGCTCCACCCTACTTCTTGCCTATTTTCCTTGACTTTTCCTGGAGGTTTTAACCCCTTTGGCTCCAGCCACGTTCAAAAGCAAAATTGCGAGAGGATGTGTTTAAACCACCCAACCAACCTCCCACAATCGCAGCTTTAAATCTAACCTTTATTATGTTGTTCATATTATGTTCTTGTCAAAAAACATGCTTTCTTACACCCTTGAGAATTGGCAAGGCTGCTGAACAGGAATCTCTCGGCTGAACTTGCTGCTGCTGGAACTGTAATGATGAAGCACAGGTTTCTCGTAACGGTACTTGCACATCTAACCATGCAAGGCCTTATCGAACCTGACTGAAAAACATAACTACAGCCTCCTTACACTGTGCTAAGCCAGAAGCAGCTTTTCACAATGTGAGGTAAGACAAATACCCTTATGGTTTTAACCAAGAGAAACGAACTTGTTAATTTTACAATTCATAGGTGAAAATCTTTGTGTGTGTGCAAGTCTCCACTTACTTTAATGGGATTCTGAGCAGAAAGAACAGCCACCTGCACACGGGCAGCTTAAGGCCAGTGTCTAAACAAACATCTCCCAGGCTAAAGTGAAAGTGCTCTAGGCTGTGTAAAACCTGCATGTTCTGCTATTAAATTCTCTCTCACGCGAGACATCAAAACTTGGAATATTATACAATGAGCAAATAAAATCGCATGCTTCCAATTCTTTTAAACTGTACTAAGAATGGATAATCGGCAGTTTGTTTTCAGAAGTTCAAGTGGGGGGAAATACCATACACACGCTCAAAAGCTTAAATTAGTGTCTGCAGAATAGAGGTTGCCACACATACAGTTTCTATTTTCTTCATTTGAAGATATTTCAAAATTAACAGAATTTGAGGAAAAATACAGAATTAAGATATCAATCACC